TATACTGTAAATCTGTGGTGTTTAAAAAATGAAGCTCCATTACAAGCACCAAGTTAAGGGAGACATTCATTGATCCAGTCCGGCAGCCTTGTAGCCGTTTCGTTCTTTTCTCTGTTTTATCTTTTTCTTCCAACAGTCGTCCAACACAAAGAGATCCCCATGAGCCCATGACTCAACTTGCCATGAATCATCCCACCTAACCAATGGGGATCTTTCTGTGTCCACTGGAGAGTAAATATATGTTTTGGGCACTTTTGGCGCAAAATATATGCAACAGGGACAAGTTTCAGACATGTTTCATGTTCAACTTTTTTATTTAACAATATGACTATGGGAGGCAAATAATCAATGAAGGTTGAGCAATGTCAAAAGATTTACCTATCCAAAACTTTGATGTACACGCGACTTGAGATTTGAGAACTCTGAGAAACAATGGCATTGAAGCTAAGAGGACAAACTTGTTTCAATGGCAAAGAGGACGATCTTGCTTCAATGGTGGAGAACTTGCTTCAATGGCGGAACAAAGAACTGCAAATGGATTGAAACCCTAACACCTTTCGATCTTGCACTTGATCTAATGACTAGTGGAACAAAGAGCAAAGATCTTAAACTTAAATAATGGGTTAATCTTCAATGGTGGAAGTTCGTTAGACTGAGAACTGAGAAAAACCCAGAGATCTTTGTTCGACAATTTAACTCTTGTAGCAACTCTCTCTCGACTCTCTCCTCTTATGGTCTTACCCTCTCTCGACCCTCTCCTTACCCAAGTGACCCTAACCCTTTTTCACCCAATGGGTATCCTCGACCCAACCCACCCTGACCCTCTTTTCCTTGACCCTAATGGGTCACTTGACCCATATAACCCACTGTTGAAATGGGTGGGTATGAGTGGGTTTTGAAGCGAGTGGGTTGGGTGGGTCAAAAGGGTCAGGGTCAACATTGCCACCCCTAACTACTACCATAATCACTGATTTACCATGAAAGTTGGGAGTCCCGTGATGAAATCCATGGTGATATCCTCCCATACTTGAGCCGAAATCGGGAGAGTCTGCAACAATCTTGATGGGGTTTGATGGTCAGATTTGTAACGTTGGCAAGCAGGGCATTGTGCTACAAACTGCTAGACGGCCTTCTTCATCGCTGACCAAAACAAGTGCTGGCTTACCCGGTGATAGGTCTGGAGTATTCCCGAATGGCCACCTGAGGCAGAACCATGAAACAACTGAAGTAACTCCGGGAGAAACTTTGATTGGGCTGCAATCACTAGGCGCCCTTTAAAGAAGAGATCTGGCCCCACTAAGTAGAACCCTGGGGCTGAAGCCGGATCTGTTGTAAACCTCTGAACAATCTTCTGAATAGTTTCGTCTAGGTGGGCTTCTTCCTTGAGCTTGACCCATGTAGAAAAATTGGGACAGGATTCACCCAACATGAAAACTTCATGGATGCGAGACAGAGCGTCCGCCGCCTTGCTTGATACGCCGGGCTTGTACTCCACCCAGTAATCAAACCCCAACAACTTATACAACCACTTCTGTTGAGCTAGGCTGTGCACTGGTTCTTTAACAAGTGCTTGAGGCTTTGGTGATCGGTACGGATGACAAAGGAATGTCCCAACATATAGGATCGCCATTTCAACACTGCAAGGACAACTGCCATCAGCTCCTTATCATAGGTAGACTTTAGCTGGGCCTGGGTAGACAACGCCTTACAGAAGTAGGCAAGGGGTCTACCTTGTTGCATAAGGATTGCTCCCACTCTGGACTTGGATGCATCACATTCTACTACGAACTCTTGAGAGAAGTCTGGTAAGGCAAAAGTGGGTGGGGTGGACAAGGCCTGTTTGAGGTCCTAGAATGCGGCTTGGGCCTGGTCATTCCAGATAAAAAGCATTCTTTTTGAGTAGTTGGATCAGTGGGCCAACTATCAAGCCGTAATTTTTTATGAACCGTCTGTAGTAACCAATTAGGCCTAAGAACCCCCTAAGAGCCCATATGGAATTTGGAATGGGCCAGTTAACCACGGCTGCAATCTTGTCAGGGTCCGCTCTAACTCGGCCTTGAGAGACAATATGGCCGAGGTAGTGCACCTCTGTCTGGTAGAATAGACATTTGTCTTTCTTGGCATAAAGCCGGTGTTGCCTCAAGACCTCCAAGGTAACTTTCAGATGTTGTAGATGAGAATCCCAACTGTCACTATAAACCAAGATGTCATTGAAGAATACCAGGACGAACCGCCTGAGGTAGAGCCGAAATATATCATTCATTAAAGCTTGAAAAGTGGACGGAGCGCTGGTTAGCCCGAAGGGCATAACCAGGAATTCATAGCGCCCATCGTGAGTCTGGAATGCTGTCTTCAGCACATCCTCCGGGTGTACCCGGATCTGGTGGTATCCGACCCTCAAGTCTAATTTGGAAAACACCATTGCAGCTCCTAATTCATCCAACAGCTCGTGAATTACTGGTATGGGAAATCTGTCTTTTACTATGATACAGTTCAAGGCCCAATAATCAACACAAAATCTCCATGTGTCGTCTTTCTTTTTTACCAACAAGACAGGTGAGGAAAACGGGTTGGAACTAGGTTGTATCATTTGCCTCTTCTTCAGATCAGCTACAATGTTTTCAATTTCAGACTTCTGGAAATGGGGATAACGGTATGGCTTCACATTGGCTGGTCTTGCCCCGGGCAATATGGGAATTTTATGGTCTTGGTCCCGTTTTTTGGGGAGGTCCATGGGTTCTTGGAAGACATCTTGGTAAGCCTACAACAGTCTGGATAATTCCGTGGGATCTCTTCCTGGGCCTACTAACCCCAAGGAATAGTTGAGTGTGGGCCCCATTGGATCGCCTCCCAAATAGAGATGACAGGTGGGGAGAAATGGTGGCTTGGCTTGATTGTTAGGCCGAATTCTTCTTGCAATGCAGGCCCTAGGTCGAGGCCTTGAAGAGTGCAACTCTGCCCGTCTGTTGTGAAAGTCATGGTTAGACGGGCCCAATCACCCACTGCATGCCCAAATCACATCGGGCCCCCTTAACTCCAATGGGTGAAGATCAGCTTGGAGTAAGTGCCCTTGCACCTTGATTTTCACTGCTTTACAAACCCCATCACAACAGAGTTTGTGTCTATTAGCTACATGGACTAAGAAAACCGGTACAGGCTCCACTATCCACCAATATAGTGGTGGTTAGATCAGAGTTTGTGTTTGTTAGATCAAAGTCTTGCCCCGGGCAATGAAGCTGGTCAACTAGCTGCTCTGAAACGAAATTTAGAGAGCTCCCACTATCCACCAATATAGACACTGGGCTACCCCCGATCACTGCTCTTAGCCTCATGGTTTGAGGTGAGGATGAGCCAGTCAGGGCATGGAGGGAAATTTTTGACACCTGCTCTGTAGGTTCTTCTTCAGTTTCCGGGGTCCCTTCTTCAATTGCGAGACCCTCCTCTTCTAGATCCTCCGGTTCTAATAGGAACAGTTGGGGTCTCTTGCAACGATGTTCGGGCCCGAACTTTTCATCACTGTTATAGCAGAGTCCACGCTCGCGGCGTGACTGCATCTCTGCCCAGGAGAGATGCTTGAGGGGCAAACCATTCGGTCCAATCGGTTTGGAAGGACCTGATTCAATTTTAGTCGGAGGAGTCTTGATGATTGGTCCGGTCAGGGCCGGTTTATCCACCCGTCTAAGTTTATTCAGTCTTTCTTCATGCAGGCAGGCCAAGTGTGCCGCCGCATTTACAGTGACCGGTTGCAGGGCCTTCACTTCATACTGGATCTCATCCCTCAAACCCCCTAAGAAAGCTCCCACCAACGCCGATTCAGGCCATCTGTAAACCCGAGAAGCCAACCTCTCAAACTCATTCTGATACTCCCTCACCATCCCCAATTGTTTAAGTCTCAACAAAATTTCATCAAAGTTTTCAAACCCTGACGGTTCAAAACAATGACAGAGGGCCTCTGTAAATCCCGCCCACCCAATCAGGGGGTTGGAACGTCGATACCAATGTAGCCACTGGATGGCCTCCCCCTCCAAATGGATCGAAGCCATCCTCACCTGAGAACGAGGGAAATACCAACTTGGCCATCCTCCCGAATCCGGAACCTGCATGTGAGTGGTCGGAGTAACTAGAGCCTTCGTTATCCCCTTCGCGCAGGTTGGAATGGGACAACCTCCAGAACTGGCTAGCTACCACCGAAATGGAGTCCTTCAAGTCTTTCAGCTCACCGAACACCTTGTGAAGCACTTCTTCGATCTTATTGATTCGACCCTCCATTGCTGAGGATCTCGTGTTCGTCATTTCTCTACCTAACGGCAGCTCTAATACCAACTTGATGGGATACTGCCCAACGTAGAGGTCTCTTTGAGGGAGACCCTAACCTCCTACTAAGAGAAGAAGGAAAATGGATTAAGCCAGGTCTGCCCTACTCGTTTATTCTCAGATATTTATAAAGTTCACAAGGAGATCATGAAATGTGCATGGGACTGTTCATGGCTGACGTGTCTTCCTTGTGTACATAAAGTGAATGGGCAGGCGTTTGGCTTCTTTCATCATGATGTGCTCCTCGTGGGCCTCATTAGGCAATGTGGGCTGGTTAGGGGTATGGGCCTGAGGTTTCATATGGACTGGGGCCCCAACACATACTACTAATGTGGTGAGCTACAAAATAGTGCAATATACAGACTAGCAATTAAGTTTCAATATAAGTTTGTCCTCAACTTTATCTTGCAATTGGGTGAGATGTGATATAACAGTAAAGTATGGCACTTGTAAAGGAAATAGGTGCATGTTTTTATGAGAATTTGTCCTTCTGATCAATTTTTACCCATTAGATAAAGGTGCCTTGGAGATGGTGAATGGTAAAACAGAAAATAGATTTGCATTGACCAGAAAATAAATATAGCAAGGAGGCTTCTATCTGATATGCTAAAGGACTGAAAATTGCAATTAGGAGGGATTTTCAAAATGCTGAAGAAAGTAAATATAGTGAGGATCAATTATCTCACCAGTGCAGCAAGCTCTGTTGCCAAACACTTCCTAGCTCTCTCTACAAACTCCCTTGCTTCATCATACTGAAATAAGAAAGCAAAGAAAATATGCATAAATACTGCAAACATCTCATCAGAGGTTATAAGATAAATGATTACCTTTCCTCGACGAACTAACAGAACAGCCCTGAAGAAAGTACCATTGCTACTTCCATCACCAGTAGCAGCGGTATTCCCTAAAATCCGAAGCTTGGTTTCATCACCGTCGTCCAGACGTGAAACATATTCTGACATTTGGTCCCACTCACCCATGTTCCAAGCAGCATTAGCAGCCTGTGTTAACAACATTATATAAATACATAAAGAAAGTAGTAAGCATGTTTTGCAATAGTTCAGAAAGCAAAAACAAACCATTGGTGCCATTTCCAGCCGAGCTGCAGGTTCAGCTGGGGTCCAAAACTCCTTGCAAAGGTTATTAAGCTCTTCCCAGCGGGCCAATGCAGCAAGACATCGCATCCTACCTGCAAAATATTATTGCAATGATAACAAAGCAGCAATAATATAAGAAACCCCCTAGGTTTCAATATACCAGGATGTGGAGCATTACTTCCTTGTTGTATTCCTGTCAAAATATACTAACCATGGGCCTTAAAAAAACACCCAGGGTATGTTTATGACTATACATTAGTACCTTAAAATTTAGCTAAAGAGAAAGTAAAATTGAAAACAGATCTAAGATGACATAGTTCTTTTGTATTGCCCTGAGCTTTGGATGTGAATTACTAAAATGGAACAACAAATAGTCAAGTGTGTTGGAATAGGCCCAGGATCAACTGCACCAACAAAGACTAACCATTTGTATTAAACATTGCAACAAATAATAAGCCTAAGGTAGATATTATCAAACCCAACAACCATCAAACCATTGGAGGTAGTTGGTCTACCCCAAATGATACGAGAAGCTTGTTTGCTTCAGCCTTTAAGCACCATACCTAGTAAGAGAGGGAGGGCATAATGGACATGTACAAGGGCAGCTATTTTGTGGACATTATGGGAGGAATGAAATGCAAGAATCTTCACAGATTGCATGGGAGATGGAAGTAGTGCTTGAGAGAATTGTAACCAAAATAGTGCATAAGGCTAAGACTATGGAAATGTTTGACCCTTTCTCAATGGATGAATTTCTGAGATGGTGGCAATGGATTGCATCCACTTCCACTTCTAGGTGCTTACCATTAACACGATGGGATCTACCTATACCCAGTCAATTTAAGTTAAACTTCATGGATAGGGATGGCAATTTTCCCTACAAGACCAGGGCTCCAATCTGCTCCACCACGAATGGGGCAGGTTTTCTCTGATCTTAAATGGGGACGGGGTGGAGATGGGAAACTTTTTTGCCACAAATTGGGGATGGGATCTACATATATCCCTTCCCAGCCCAGATTTAGCTAGATCATCAGCCACTTGATTTAATTCTCTCGGAATCCATCTAAAGCTGCAATGTAAATAAGAGGCAAGCTCCCTGAATTTTAACAACAGGTGGGATAACTTCCACAGGTCTAGAATCTGTCCTGAAGCCCAGTAAATAACATTTTTCGAATCACCTTCTGCTGCAATGCAGCTGAGCTGCTTTGATTTGGCAATTCTGAGGCCTTCCAAGAGGGCCCTTGCCTCTGCATTGGCTGGGCCACTATAGGCCCAAATCAATTCTCCATTTGCTCTTTGAATCAGTCTTCCGGTTCCAGCCTTTGATCAGAATAAACTCACAGTCTTGTCTTGGGGTGATTTTAAGGGGAGGTTGAGGGTGAAAAGGAGAAGTTGATAGTAGAGCAGGCCAGTTACTAAGTAAGTCATTCCGAGTGATACCCTCAAAGATTTTGCCGTTCATCATCGAGCTGCTAATGTTAGCCAGAATGCGATCTCGAAGAGCCTTCAAGGAGGAGTAACTATCCTCAAATAATCTCCTATTTCTTTCCTCCCAGATATTGAACATGACATCATAAACAATTGCTTTCCAGAAACAGCTTCCTCTTGCCCAAAATCATCTTTAGCCTTGCCAAGAGTTGATAAACTCTATAACAGAATTAGGGGGAGTCCAGCTGAGCTTGCCAAGGAATTACTAAAAACCCTAGGTTTAATACTGATTTCAAAAACCCTAGGATCCCATGATGCCATTTCAAAAATGCACCCTACATTTGATGTATATTTAGGTGGTTGCCTCTAGACATGGAAAAGTCAGTGATTCCCCATCCCTGATAGGGACAAGGATGGGTGTTGAATCCTTGCCCCACCATAGGGGATGAGGGTGGGGAAAGGGATTTTGCCTATGAGGTGGGGCAATGATTTAAAAGGCATGCCTAAGCGCTCAGGTGAGGCACATTTTATGGTATGTGCCTCGCCTAGGTCCTAGGCACAGCACTATCAAAAGACTTGTGCCTTGTGCTTCAGCCCAGGAGTGCACCTTTTTAATAGGGGGTTCTCGTAGAATCAGGAATGCAATATGTTTTACATCACATTAGCTATTTGAAGTAATGCAATTGAGGAAAAAAAGAGATTATAGGCATTCATCAAAAAAAAAAAAAAGAGATTATAGGCTTACGTGCTTGAAAATGTTTTATATGTTTGATTTTATTTTTAAATTTTCATTTGAATGCGCTTTACATATTATGTTTATGTATTTTAATTTTAGATAATAGTTTTTTAAAATATCAGTTTATATTTTTTATTAATATTATGTTTAATAATTTTTTGCTTTTTTTGAATTTTCTGACTTTTTTTTGGAATTTTTTGTATTTTTGTGCTTTTCTTCAAAGAGACACACGCCTTGGGCGCAAATTGCCCCTTGCACTTTTAAAACACTAGGGTAGGGCAGTGATTTAAAAGGCGCGGCTCAGGCACGCCTAGGCGCATTTTGGGGTATGCACCTTGCCCAGGTCCTAGGCGCACGCCTGGTGCGCCTAGGCATGCGCCTGATGTGCCTTGCGCCTCAGCCCAGGCACACGCTTTTTGCACCAAGAACCCCCTATTTGCTAATGTTGTTCATTCATTCATTGCAATAAAATATCTTCTTAAAAGGCAATCAAAGTTATAAAATCATTATTTTTTATGTGAGAAATAAGAATTTTAGACCCTAACATAGACTTGTTCGGGCTTGCCTTGAGGGGCGTGGTACAAAAGCGACTCATAGAAGCAAGAATGCAATATTTTACATCACACTAGCTACTTGAAGCAATGCAATTCAGGAGAAAAAGAGATTGTGGGTTTTACATGCTTGAAAATGCTTTATATGTTTGCTTTTATTTTTAAATTTTCATTTAAATACGCTTTACGTGTTACGTTTAAGTATTTTAATTTTAGATAATAGGATTTTAAAACATTTATTTTAAATTTTAAGTTTATATTTTTTATTAACATTATGTTTATTATTTTTTTTATTTTTTTGCATTTTTTAAAAGTTTTTTAGCATTTTCTTTGATTTTTCTGACTTTTTTTATTTTTTAGCTTTTTTTGTAATTTTGCACCTTGCTTAAAAAGGCATGTGCCTCGCCTTGCGCCTCAGGTGCAAATTGGCCCTTTCCCTTTCAAAACACTGGGGTGGGGACGGGGAGGGGTTGCCTGCCCCAAACCCACCCCATTGCCATTCCTATTGATGGATGTTGTTTAGGGAATGGAATCCAGGTTTGGCAGCTATAGCCTATAGTGGAGTGGTTAGAGACTGTTAAAAGGCTGTTTTATGTTCAGTATTAGTATCAGAGCAGGTTTATTAGACCTGAAAGGAAGATCGCTCAAGTGTTTTTTCTTCATCAGTTGCCTTTTAACAGAGACCATAATGGGAATATCTTGGCTCTTTATTCAGGTCCAGTGGGGCAAATGAGATTCTGTGAAAGCAGAATTATTGGCCATTCTTTAGGGGTTAAGAATTTGTAAGCAGCTAAACTTGAGGAACATTGTGGTGGAAGGTGACTCAAAGATGGTGGTAAGCTGGCTAAAAAAGATCTAAGGAATATGGCAATGTAGGAATTACACGAGAGAGACAAAACTATTGGTAAGGGAACTAAAATTAACATTATGCTGGGTTAGAAGGTAGCTAATGGTAAGGCTGATTAATTAGCTAAACGAGGTCTGAGAAGAGCGATTGTATTGGAAACAATTGTAATGTGGTACAGTAAGAAGGCCAGTGACCTATCAACGATCTTTGGGTTGACTAAGAAGGACGGTGGCCTATCAACCATCAACAGAATCATCCATTTTCAAAGGATGATATTCCAAGGGGTTGGCAGAAGGTGGCAGATACTTATCCCACTAAATAATTCATTTTAAAGGAATGGTCTCCGTCAACAGCATAAATATGATGAAAATAGAATCTTCAATCTCCCACACAGTTGGCCATAGGAAGCAGAGTAGCAGACAGATTAGTTGAGGGAACGAAGCAGAAGCAGTATGATAGCTAACCAGGAAAAGTGGTATCTTAACACAATGAACTCCACCTCATCCCTTTAGCAAGATAATCCACAGGAGAATTTTCCCATGATATGTGACACACTTATCCCTGTAGATTTTTGCATGTTAAATCCTTGACATAATAACCATGTCCACATTTGTTGGAAAATAGTTGTTAAGGCATACAAGCAAAGGCAATGGTGTAGTGCCTAGTCAACATCCCTCAATAAAGCATCTGATGGGCATTGAAAAAGAAAAGGGCTTTCAGTAGGTATATTGATATTATTAGGGATATGCATACAGGGACAATGAATCTACAACAAGGGTCAGCACTTCGTCCTGTTGGACCGGGAGGGGGTTTTAGGGACAAAGGTGGTAATATAATAGCTGTATTCTCAGGTCCTCTTGGAGCAGGAGCTTCAACATGATTTGAATTATTTTCTGTTGTACAGGGGTTCAAAAAGCAAAAGAGATGAATATAGAGAGGTTGGTTACTGAAGGGGATCTGAAATAGTGATTGACTAGCTGAAGGGTGATTTTCAAGGTGTACGGAATCATGGAGATGTTATAAAGAAGATAAAATGTTTAATGAGGGAAATGACAATAAGAATACTTTTGGTTCCAAGGGCTGCTAATGGTTTGGCTGACTCAATAGGAGAAAGTTGTATTGGGCTCTCTTACTTGTATTGTGGAGAGGTAGGTACAAACTTACCTCACTTTGGGGTCCTCATATGTACATATATCCTGTTTATATTAATGAAATCTGTTACTTGTTACTTATTAAAAGGAGGCCCCATGGTGTGTTGACTTATAGATATAATTGGGCTTCAATGCATTACACACAGATCTGTCATTCATATCTTTAATGGTTATTTGTTATGTTTGATTTTATTTTTCAATTTTCATTTTAAATATGTTTTACTTTTAAATGTTATATTTATGTATTTTAATTTGAGACAAGAGGTTTCTTAAAACATTTCTTTTGAAGTTTAAGTTTATATTTTTAATTAATATTATGATTATTTTTTTGTATATATATATATTTTTTTTGCATTTTTGTGCCTTGCGCTTTTAAAACACTGTCAAAGATATAAATACAGTGCAAAAATGTACCAATCATGAACAGATGCAGCAGAATAAATCACTTGAACAGTGGGGTGATGCAGAAGTAAAATTGTTGCATCATGCGTATGCTTTCTGAGCAATCGGTGCATCAATTATTCAACTTCTGCCTGACATCCTTCCTATGTGAGTCCTCTTGTTAGTGTTCATTCTATTGTGACCTTTATGTGGGATGCAGGAAAGCTATTTTATGAACACATGGTTCCCTTTCATTGGACTGGACTCCAGTTCTTCACGAGTTTAGCATTAGAGTAGCAGAGAATTTGCCTACAGGTAAACTCAAGTTTTGGGTGTAGAGGGTGGTATACTGTAAAGAGTCAGTTCGTGGCCCTTTTTAAATCTCTATAAATTAATAAAATCTCATTATTACTCACCAAAGAAATATTCAAATATAAGGTTAGTTTCAATTTAATGATGAACAGTGTTTGGGAGGCGTACGCCTGGAGGCGCCCCCAAAACGCCCTGAGGCGTATGCCAGAGGCTGATAGCCTGATACCTCTGAGGCATACACCTCATACGCCTTTTTCATGAGGTGTGGTAGAGGTGTACACCTCATGCACATTTCATATAAAAAGACAGGAAAAAAAAAAAAAAGAAAAAAAAGGAAAGGAAAGGAAAGGAAAAGAAAGGGAAGGGAAAGAAAAAGAAAAAAAAAAGATAAAAAGAAAGAAAAGAAAAGGGAAGGGAAGAAAAGATAAAGAAAGTGAGCCGGGGGCTTTCCCCCTGGCCCCCTTGGCTGGGGGGCTTCACACCCCAGAACCCCCAGCCCCCCTTTCAACTAGTGCTATGCATCTTTTCTTCTTAATATAAAAGATTTTTATTAAAAATAGAGAAAAATGAGATCCTCCTTCCTCTTCTTCTTCCTCCTCCTCCTCCCTCTTCTTCTTCTTCCTCCCCTTCCTCTTCATCCCCCTCCCCTTAAGGAGGCTTACGCCACCTTGTGTTTGGAGGTTTACGCCTCTTACGTTCTAACTACGCCTCATGCCTCTAGGTAGTGGAACACCTTGCGTCACGCCTCCACGTTTTAAAACATTGATGATGAATTACCATGCATGATAAAATAGTGAAATTTTACAAGGGAAGCAACCTGACATGATTTATTACAAACCTAATGTGGCTTCCAGAGCAAGATGTGGACTTGATGCTTGAGATGCTTTAACTGTGTATGCCTTGAGAGCATCATCCCATCGCTGCAATTTTTCATACCTAAACAGAATGCAAGAATGTGAATGCTTTCAGTAAGAGTTATCTTTTTCATGAAGACTACTAAGAGGAGGAAAATGCAAAAGGAGGATTTCCCGAAGAAAATTCTGAAATCATAGTTCCCTTGTATAATAAAATAAGCAAGATTATTTTTTGAAGGGTTAATATATTGAGTACTTCATCGCTAAAGCATACCAGGACTCCTTCAGTTGAACATCCAAATGTTGTTGGGCATAAGTCAATATCCCCACCGCTGCCTGAGAATAAAACTCGAATTACTAAATCCAGTGGAAAATGGACTTGTGAAAAAAAACTGGTGGAAGATGGCATGTAGTAATATAACTTCCAGAATAACAAATAAACAACCTCATGCTGGTGTAACTGATTATTTATGTGTATAAGAGCTTCCACAACGGCAACTGGGTTTGCATCCATCTTTTTGGAGTGTGCACCTTCAAACTCCATTTCTTTGTAATGTAGGGCCTTTGCAAATGCTCGACACTGAGGAAATGAATTGATTCACTAAGATACATCTAAGATTAAATAGATAATTCTATACGAAGACAAGAAAGTAACAATTAAATTAAGGTAGAAAACCCATTTTAGTTTTCAAAGATGAAAACTCACTTTTTCTGCCAGGGCACCAAGGAGTCTTATATCTATGGGAAGATGTTTCTCATCATGTTCCATGAACTCTGCCTGCAAAAGATATAGTTGAAGATCCTATCACTGGGGAACATTTTCATTCATGCATCCAATACCTAATGGATATCATAACTTCAATGATAACTTGCAATATTCCAGAGCCCATTAAAAATAACCTTTACGTAACAGACTAATTCACCTTAAACAAGTTTTAGCTAATATACACATTAAGCAGTTATTGCATCTATTCACTTATTATGCTCAAAAAAGAGAATTTATATCGTGAAAAAGGTAGCATGGTGTTAACAACAGGTTAAATTAATTAGTAGAGCTTCCAGTATATCATATATGTATTATCATTTCTCTCTCCCTACAACATGTCCAAATCTATACCACCGTTATTGTGAAAGAAACTTGAGGCAAGCACCTCCACCACAAGGTGCTCCCTGTTGCCTCACTTCAGATGCCTCCCTTGAGCCAGACAAGAGGCAACAAAGTCAAGAACCTAACTAATTCCTCTCAAATAATTACTGTTTAGTTCTCTCAGCAACTTAATTATTTCAAAATATATTTCTATTTTGACTGCAGTAGGGGCTTCTTTAACTTTAGTCATAAGATTGTTTTCCTCTGTACATACTACATACTCTGTATAGATCTGCTTGGTAAGTTCTCTTTGTTTCAATAAAGCTCCAATCCAATAAAGAGGAAGAAACCCTGGAACAGAAATTAGGTTGAAGAAACCCTTGCTAAAAAGTGGAGTAATGGTTCAATCAACCACCCAGATGCTTTTTTGAATGGATTAAATTTCCATTTAGTGGCTGTAATACAACCAGAGTAACTCATTTTTCTATGCCCTTGAAAGCCCTACACTCAAGGTAGGACCTGCTGTATTTCTAAAATTTCAATGATTTCATTTGGCATTTAGTCCATACATGCATTAGAGATTCCATGCTAAATTGCCAAGTATTAATGGATATTCTTCCTTGGGTTTTGTATGCATTTTCAAACTTTCATATATTCCTACAGCTTTTTTCTTTGGTTAAAATTTTACTTATTCTCCTTGTTAGAGCTAGCCGAATAAGGGTAGATTAGTCATTTTATTTCTGTTAAGTTATGTGCTTATGTGGCAGCCTTAATAGAGACTTCCTGTCCCATACTTAAGTGGGGGCAGTTTAGTCTTTGTACTACTAATTAGAGGCTAATCCATATTAAGGGTCGACTGATAGGGTTTAATCTATCAAGTTCGACTGTTCTCTTCATCTTCTCCTGGTACGAACTACTATAGCTACAAAACAAACATGGGATCAGAGCTAAAGGGGGCGGACATGCCTCCCGAGGAGGTCGTGGTGGTTCCGTATTTGGCCGTTGTGGTGGTCGTGACTCAAGGGGAAGCCATGGTAAAGGAAAAAGTAACTCTACAAGGAAGTGTACCCATTGTGGCAGGGACGAACATTCGGTGAATTTCTGTTATGATCTCCATGGCCCTCCTTCTACATGGGCCAATCATGCAGTAGCTGGTGGGGTTGATGTCAGTGATGAGTACCGCGTGATGAGTATGAGTAGTTCCTCCAGACTACTTCACAGCATACTACTGCCACCCTTGACCACTCAGGTATAGTTTGTCTGTCATCCAAACCCTCTCCTTGGATTATTGACTCTAGAGCCTCTAATCACATGACCAGGACTCCAGGTGTGTTCTCTTCCCTCTCTGAAACTTCCACATCTCAAACTGTTACCCTTGCCAACGGTTCCTCTTCTCCCATC